CCCCCCAGTGGTGATTTATATACCTTCAAAAGAAAGCTCTATCTGTCCCAAAAAATGTTTTAACATAAATTGCAAGGCTATAGTCCGGTCATGCTGACTGGTGAAATTTTTGACTGACTGGTGAGACACCATCAAATTTTTTAAGCCCTGTCTATTGGTCACATTCAGCCATTTTGGATTGTGCAATATTCTGCAAACAACTTAAACACTTAAACCATTTATCAGAATAACTCAAAACTTTGCACATATGTCATGGGTGACCTCTTCTACCACTGTTGTAAAAATAGGTTCAATCCCAAAATCAAAATGGCCGCTGCAAGCCGATGATATTTACATAGTGTCATTATTCTTATGGCCTTTTTTTCAAAAGCCTGTTATAAGCGCACTGTTACTTAAAAACTCAAGTAACTTGGCCCTATGGTAGAGCTCTATGCTATGCCTAATCTTTTACATCACAAACGTCATAGGTCACATTCCTTGGCATCCATCTTGTTTTAGCTGACAATATTCAGCTTCATATTCAAACATCCATTCCTCAAACATCCATTCCTCAAACTATTACAGCTACAGATGTACCAATTGCTGAATAAAGTAATGTTGTGATCTGCACTCGGAACTCATTGTTACAAGTCAATTGGCCACATGGTTCAGCAGCCATATTGAATTGTTCCAACTTTTACAAATATTCCTATTATTTTTATAATCCTTTTTTCAAATGCAAATTATAACCACACCGTTATGTAAAAACTCATGAAATGTGGCACAATGGTAGAGAACTGTGCTGTGTTTAGTCTTTGGCAACATAAAGGTCATAGGTCGCATGCTCTGGCAGCCATCTTCGTTTTAGCAAATGTATTTCGGACAATTTTAAAACATTTGTTTTTTCATAACTGCTAAAGCTACAGATATACAGTCATATATCTCTAGCTCTATAGCTCTACAGTCATATATGTTCATTACAAGTCATTTGATCACATGGTTTAGCAGCCATGTTGGATTGTGCAATATTCTGCAAACATCTTAATCTCGGAAACCAAATATTATAATAATTCAAAACTTTGCACATATGTCCATGGCTACTTCTTCTACAACGGTTGTAAAAACAGGTCCGATCCCAAAATCAGTATGTCCGCCACAAGCCAATCACTTTTAACATTGCGTCAAATTGCATAAACGTGCATTTCCAGCAGTATTGAAGTATGTTAAACTTGTTAAATATATGATAACTCAACATCATAACTGACAAATATATTATGGGTTCCAAATGTTACCAAGGCCGGTGGCCATTTTGAATTTGGAAAAATATTGCAATTCATGAAAATGTTTGCAGTTGTACAGGTCTATTGTGAATACATAACTTTGCTATTTATATCTCTAACTACATTATCTTCTCATGTGCTATAAGCAGGCTCTAATTCTTGGCCACCTTTATTGCTGCTTGCAGCTATATTTTTGTTTTTATGCACCAGTTTCCAGAAAGGCATATAGGAAAAAGATTTTCTAATACTATTCACAAATATGGTTGTACAAGTTACTATATAATGTAAACTCCCAGTTATCCAGCACCCACGGGGATCGGTAAATGCCGGATAACTATAGTTTCTGGTTGCTTGAGAGTTAATAGTTACTGAAATAGTTAAAAGCAGGCTGGCTATTGAAAGCCATTGTTTACATTCTGCTGTGAACGTGGAATCTAATAACATTTTTTAGTCTCCCGCAAATAAAAATCGAGGACTTATTGTATCTTGGTTTTTTTTTTTTTACCGGTTGCTTGAGAGTGCTGCCGGAAAATTAGGAGTTTACTGTATCTACAACTTAAAATACCTTTGTCATTATAATGAAAACACTGCTAAGCCTATATTTCTTCATATTTTGACCCCATTGATAAGGCTTCACAAAATTATTTTCCACTATTTCACTTTTCCTGGCTAAGGCAAGAACCGACCCCATTGTTTTGAATATTTTACCTGAAGTTAAAAAATTACTGAATTAATTTAACCATTCTTATTGGCCAGTGAAACAGCCCATTGTAGCGATGGGTCAGTAGGAATTGGCAGGAGGGAGTGGGCAACCCCTTGTTAGCCCCTGTGTTATAGCAATACAGTTAAGTGGGGGAAAAAGTAAAAAATAATAAAAGAAATTCAAATTAAAGTAGTTTTTTTTTTTTTTAAATGACATTCTTATTTGTGTGAGAATAAACTCATGCATAGGGTGTGTGCATGCCCGCGCCCCCATTCTGCTGTGTTCCATATTGTGGAAGCCGGGCAGCAGCATTCTCTAACACGCACAATGTGCATTAAAGGGTGAGTTCACTTTCCCAAGTAATTTGGGAAAATGAAATTACGCACTGAAATCTGGCCCCCACTCCCCCATGCTATACTTACCTTTCCGGGAACTGTTCTTCCCCTCTGCCGGTATGGGTGTACTATCTGCACTCCATACTGTCATCCAGCGCAGCCCTGCACTATGGATTTTGAATTTCGCTCACAAATTGCGAGTACTCGGTCAGCACAGTCGCCTCACCGCGCGGGCCAATGGGAAGTGCTTTTTAGCACAGTTAAATACGGTTTTGGTTAAAATAATTTTTTTGTATCACTACAAGTAGATTGTCATGAGGGACAAGTAAACTGGGCCTCCATTATTTTTTTTTTAAGTTTCCACACCTTGGCAAGCTTCAGAACTACCAGAAAGTGAGGGAGCATTGCCCAGTCTTAATGGCCAAATAAATGTAGCCTAGCAATAGGATTACAACTAAAGGTAAATGCATGTAATGACATGCACTTTATACTTGACAACACCTTTTGTAATTTGCAGAATTTTAAAAAGCATCTGACAGTAAGAAAACACTCTACTCAAGTGTCTTACCTATTCATTTTTCTAGAGAGCAGAATTTCAGAGGTAATACAGGATTCCAAAACTTTAGCCCCCCACCCTCCACCCTTTCTGTCCCCATTGTGTCTCCAATTTCACTCTAATTGTTCAGATTAGCTTGCAGTCTGCCCAAAGGCCTACTTCAAAGACAGATTTAGAAAGGTAAGAACGATTTTAAAATAATATTTTAGATGTGCTGTGTGAATAGAAGCACATGACATAAAGTAGGGTTTTCTCAAATTTTAGTGCAAAAGTGAAAATACACTTTAAAAAAAAAACCTTGAGGCTGCCAGTACTATACTCCTGCTCAGAATTCTAGTTGCCTGGCTGCTGTTCTGGCAGCAGTAATTTCAGAGTCGGTGATTCTGGGTGAGTTTGCAGATCAGGAAAGTAGGCATTCTTATCTAAATACATGTCCAGGTTAGTGCATTAAGTGCTGAAGTCAGAAAGGGTTTAAAATACCGGTAAATATTTTAGTTAAAGAAAAGGGTTACATGCTCGTTTCCGTCTAGGGTCTAAAATAACAAAGATCTACTCGCTTGAACCACGGTCCTGCTAGGCTGCCCCCCCGCAGCATCTCTCCCCCTCCACTATGGTGGTCTAAGGATCTGTGAGTATATCTAATAACGGTGTATTAGATGTGAGGATGGAGGGGGAGAGGGACTGCAGGGAGCCAGCCAGACAGGACAGAGGCTCGGATGAGTATACCCTAGATGAAAACAAGCACTTAATCCTTACAGTGCGGGGGTAGGCTTACTGCGAAGGTTAGGTTTTTATTCTTATTGGAGTTCTTCTTTAGATAAATATTTCTATCATGACTGAGTATGGCTATGTCTTACCTGGTCCATATTGTTCTTTGCAGGTTATTTCGCTGTACCTTGACCAACATCCCTCAAACTCAGGCTCTGCTGAACAAAGCCAAGCTACCACTGGGGCTCCTGTTGCATCCGTTTAAAGATTTGTCGGTATGAACATTTTCCAAACATAAATGCAGAATTGCTTTATTTGTTTGTTTTTTTAATATACAGCCAGTGCTGAGTATATGCCTGTGTGTTTCCTTACTTAATGGTGATCTCCTGTATCTAGTTGCAACTGTTCTGTCAGTGGTAAAAAGATTACATTGGTAAAGATTTTATAATCCTGCCTTAGAGCACATTCAAGAGTAAGCAAGTACTGATGCATAGCTTTGTGTTTTAATTTCTTTTCTTAACACCAACTTTCCTGCTTACATTCTGTTGTTCTCTTCTCAGTAGTTGAGCCTGTCTCAAATTAAAATTTCTTTCTAAAAGTAAGCAACATTAACAATCCTAACTAAATCCAAAATTGCAGAGACTGTATCCACTAGATGTAGTCCACTGTTTTTATGAAGTTGATACATTGATAACGTTAAATACGCTCCTCATGTGACAGCGCTGCGTCCAAGCGATAGGTATAAGCACTGTATTGTGGGAGTGGAACATAGAGGGCAACTGAAATGAAAATTTTAAACCGAAAATTTACAAAATTGCAGGCCGAAACCGAAATAATTTTTTTTCTAGCCTTTTTACATTTAAAATAAATATTTATTTTTTTAAAATGTTAAAAAAAATGTATATTGTTTTTCTTTTTTTATCTTTTTTTTTATTTTACTGTTCATGGTTTTGGTGAAATATCAGGGGTCTAAACAGATCCCTGATATTTCCATTTTAAAATCGAAAAAGAGATTAACCCCTTCGTGACTGACGACGTACAGTGTACGTCGCCAGCATCAGGGCTGTTTAAACAGACACCCGGCAAAATTTTGCCGCCGGGACTCTGTTTAAACTTGTAGAGCCGACTTTTGGCTTTACAACAGAAGCAATTCTGGCGACTTACCTGTTGCCAGATCGCTTCTGTGTCCCGAAGAAGGGGCCGCCGGACACCGCCACTGTGCTTCCCGGCTCCGTTGCCCCTCCTACGTGCCCGGGACCGGCGTCCTTGGTGTCCGCGGGGAGCATAAAAAAGGACTCAGTCATGAAGGGGTTAAGGACACCGTCCTCAATCTCTTTTTCTGCTGCCTCTGTTATGAATGTTATGAGTTTTTTTCCTGTTTATTCATACATTGTGGATATAGTATGAGTTACTATGCACACAATTATGAATGAGCAGGAAGTGCTGTAGATCACCTCCTATTCATTCATAACTGGTACATAGTAACTCATACTATGTCCAGTTATTTACAAACGATCACTGATCGCTGACTGCTTGTACCTCCCTCCATTCTGACTTGCTGTCACAGGAGGGTGAGTGGGTGGCGCTGGAGGAGAGCTCATTCTATTTTGATAGCTGACTCCTCCCTGTCACCGCCGGCTCGGGCTCCTGTGACAGTGCGTGGTCCCACGCCGCTCTCCATCCTGATCGTCAGAGGAGGCTGGGAGGGGCGGGAGGAAAGCAGGCCTCCTGTGACATCGTGGCTCACGGCTCTCTCCTCCACTGCACCGCTCGGCCTCCTCCTGACAGTTTCTCTCTTCCCCACTGGATGCTATGACAGGTCAGAGGGGACACAGAGCAGCACCCAGCAGGGAGGAGAGAAACCAGACATGCACCGCTATTTCGACCGAAGGATGGCACTTGCGGCCGAAATTTCGGTGCATCCCAAGTGGAAAGCCATCATCACAATTGCGTTTTAGTGACCAGCCCTCAACTTTGTAAAGGTGTTGAAAGTTAAATGGTTATGTTCTCTGTGGTACCTGCCATCTTTTATTATAACTTTTTATTATACCTTTTATTCTTTTTTGAGATAAATATTTGTCATTTTTGCAGCAACTTCCAGTTGTAACATCCAGCACTATAGTCAGATGCCGCTCTTGTCGTACATACATCAACCCTTTTGTCACCTTCTTAGACCAAAGGCGGTGGAAGTGTAACCTATGCTACAGAGTAAATGATGGTAAGTTGTGTTTTTATGTATGAGGAAGTATTACTTAATTCTTGCGATTTTTCATGGGAGAAGGTAAATAGTCTTCATCATAGTCTGTATTGGGAAAAATGTAAACATCTGCGTTAAAATATGAAAGCCCGGCTCTGGACAGAACATATTTTTACATTTTGGATAAAGTGGAGAAAGGTTGGAGCCTCTTCCAGGTTTTTAATACCCCATTTGGGAGATTTCCCCTCACTTGCTAGAAATCTCATCAAAGGGGGCCATTTCTTGCATGGATATCAATGGAGCAGGAAATGAAAGAATAATCCCCTCTGTGGATTTACAGACCTAAAAACCTGGCATCAATTTAATCTCTTCCCCACTTTATTCAAGATGTAAAAAAAAAAAAACATGTCTGGAGTTGGGTTGTAATGTTGTTCATGAAATCATTGTGTATGTATGTTTATATGTAATATCAGGCAATGTGATATGAAAATATCTAGAGTTGTAAATGTTTTGTCTTTAGAAGGTTAAATGGTTTGCCTTGTCTGGATTTATGTACTTTATGAATACTAAAGTTAAAGGAAGTTAATGTACTCGCGCCTTTTTAAGAAACAGAGAAGCCATCTATATACTAAGTTTTTAACGTCTTAACTAAAAGCCAGATACAGTGATGGTATAGAGCACCATAAACTCTATATGGTGATATTACAATACTTGATATCACCAGCAGGTGATCCTCTGAGTGAAATCCTTGAAGTCGTTCACAAATATTATTGGCTTAGTTCAAGTTTCAACTACCAAATTATAGACGTTTTGGTTATTCTCTCAATTTCCCAAATATGCAGGCATATTCTTGATATTCTGTATATGTATATAACAATTCTGCATTTGTAGTTTTTGCATGTAAACTATAACAACTTTCTGCTGCATATTTATTAACCTAGTCCCTGAAGAATTCATGTACAATCCTGTAACAAGAGCTTATGGAGAACCACACAAAAGACCAGAAGTCCAGAATGCAACTATTGAATTTATGGCACCATCAGAATATATGGTAAGAGTGTGTCTAATATGCTATTGGCTAGTAGCAGAGGGTTACTTTTATACAGAAACATACCTGCTATACAAAGAGGCAATATACTTGCCTTTCCGGCAACCTGTGAAATGCCACCGCTTCACTGTTCCCTGGCCACTGCAAGTATTTAACCCGTTGGATTGGTTTAATACCTGTTACCAAAAAAACAAAAGAAAACCCCAAAAACATTCAGTATTAAACTCAAAGTACAGCAACATATAAAGCCAATGATATGACTTACTCTCAGATTATTGTTGGAACATCAAGGGTGAACATAGAAGAAAAAAATGCTCCAGTGAGCCAGTGGAGAAAACAGTGTGTGGCAGGGGGAGCAGGTGTTCCACACACTTAACATGGGCCGCTGGAAAGGTAAGTATTGCCTCTTCTTGTAAAAGGTATCTTATTGTATAGAAGTGACCCTGTGCTGTCAGGATCACTTTAATATCTGTGAGATAGGTGAATCTTTGTTAAAAAGAGAATCATCATTGGGACTAATGCCGATTACTATGCCTCTTTATACTGTAAATATTTTTTTTGGTAATTGAGATTTAAAGTTTAATTTGTGTCAAATGTTAGCGACTTACTTTAAAAGAGCTCTCCCTTCAACATTAGTGCATTACAACTTTGAGCATTGTCATACCCCCGGGAGTTCCCTATTTTAACCCAGCTTGTTGCTCTATCTTGTTGCTCTTCATAGGGTATATCAAGTAAATGTTTTATAGCAGGGGTCTCAAACTCAAATGACCCAGGGGCCACTGGACAGGTTTACTTTTGCCATGGGGGCCGCTTGCAAAATTTCAAATACATCATTGAACTATGTACAGTACTAGATAGTGCTTGCTGCCAATCACTGCTTACTGTCAGATGCTTGGCAGTGTTTGCTCTGAGATAGATGAGCCAAGTCTACCTTAAGGTGTACGTTTAATAAACTGTGAAAGAGTGTGATAAGCAGTGAGAAGGCTTTTCTCACCTTAGCAAAGTGAAAAGTCTAGAAAATGCTGTTTAATAACCCGAGATAAGTCAGGTAGGAACAGAAATATCTCACCTCTTCTCATCCTGGTGATAAGTACACAGAAAGAGTTAGCAGTTGAGACTCTAACAACTGCCTGGAGATGTGCATCTGTTAGCCTAAACCTGGTTTTAGATTTGTTAAAGTTCATAGCTGAGAATAATTTTTCACACAGGTATGTACTTCCAAATAAACGCATGATCCGTTTGAATAGTTTGGACAGTTCTAGGAAGGTAGCTGGTAAATCTCTCAGAAACTGACCGATCATTTCTGCATTTCCCTGTGCATCTCTAAACTTTGCTTTGAGGTCAGTGCTGCATTGCATATCTAGAAGTTACACTTGCAGCAGATCAGGGGCACTGTTCACATCAAAAGAAAAGGGGTCAGCAAAAATCTGAAAAGTTGCGTTGTGACTGGTGAAGTCAGCAAATCGCTGATCAAATTCCCGTTGGATATTTTCAATGGCAGCAACATATTTGTCAACAGCAAACAGATAAATGTCTCCACCTTTTTCGTCGATTAGGGACTTGCATGTTGGAAAAAGGTTTTTGTTGGTAAACTGTGTTTTCCATAACTGCAGCTTTATGAGCAATGCCTTCACATTGTCAAAAGCCACAGTGATAAACTGATTTTGGGCCTTGCGGTTTCAGATTGAGTTTGTTCAGCTCCTATGTAATATGAACCAAAAATGATAAGTCTGTGACCCATTTTGGATCAACAAGCTCGGGAACATCCAGTCTTCCATCCATCAGAAATGTCCTGACTTCCTGCCTCAGTTCATAGAACCTCTTCAGTACATTGTCCCTTCTACAGGACATCACCACACACTGCTCCTATTTCCTCCAAAGAAGCACGTAACTGGCACTGCTGGAACCTGCTTGGTTTGATGTAATTAATGCACTTCACCACAGCTGGCATAACATTGTCAAATTTCAAGCATTTGCTGCAGAAGTGCCTGCAGATGAATAATGTAATGCAAAGCAATAGAAGGGTGTGCATTTCTTTCTTCTAGTTTTCTTTGTATTAGCGCCACTAGGCCATTTTTTTCCCCTGTCATTGATGGGGCACCATCTGTGGTCATTCCAACCAGTCCCAAGGCAGGTCAGCACTATCAATTACATCACAGAGTTGTTGAAATATGTTGCTGCCTGTAGTCTTTCCCTGCATTGCAATTAAGCTGAGGAACTCTTCAGTCATTTCAAAATGGTCATTAATTCCTCTGACAAATACAGTTAACTGAGCGGTGTCATTTATGTCAGTGCTCTCATCAAGAGCCAATTAATAAAAACAGAATTTTGTAACCTTATTGCACAACTGCTCATAAATATTATTTGAGATATCAACGATCCTCTCTGCCACTGTATTTGCAGATAGGTTGATGTTTCTGAATAGATTTGCCTTCTCAGGGCAAAGGATATCAGCCACCTTTACCATACAATATTTAAGAAACTGACTGTCAGTAAATGGCTGTCCTGCTTTTGCAATCTGCTCACTCACTACATAGGTAGCCTGAACTGCTGCATCACATTCCCTTTTTGCCTGCTTGAAGAGGGTTTGCTGCATTTGCAGGCCTTTCTAAATCTGGGCAATTTGCCTCTCCCTTTCTTCTCCTTGATACACTTTGCATACTGGTCTGCATGTTTCGTAGTATAATGTCACTTAAGGTCGTACTCTTTAAAAACAGCAACTTTTTCATTGCATATCAGGCAAGTAGCACTTTTATTAACCTCCACACACAAAAAAAAAAAAAATCACTTGCCTTTTGAAATTCCCTTTGCTCAGCATCAACTTTTCTTTTCTATTTTAAATCTGACATTATGGAGTGTTATAGGGCCAAAGGTTGTCTTTTGAGAGAGAGAAAGAGAGAGAGAGACCTTCACAGCCGAGGTCTACACCCGTACTGTGCATGAAGTTCGGCTACATATGAGGAGGAACACCAGAACCCCGTGGTTACCCATGTCCGTCAGCAATGTAAAAGAAGTATTCTCACTGACCAACAATGTAACGGAGGTATTCACCCTGACCGTCAGCAATGTAAAATAAGTATTCTCACTGACCAACAATGTAACGGAGGTATTCACCCTGACCAGCGATGTAACGGAGGTATTCACCCTGACCAGCGATGTAACGGAGGTATTCACCCTGACCAGCGATGTAACGGAGGTATTCACCCTGACCAGCGATGTAACTGAGGTATTCACACTGAACAGCGATGTAACGGAGGGATTCACAATGACCATACACCCCCCTCCCCTCTTCCCAGCTGCATCTGACACTGCACACAGGGAGGAGAGAGGGTGCTCACTAGTCACAAGAGCCAGCTGAAGTACCGGCAGGTGGGCACAAGTCGAGACACAGATGAACCCGGATCAATAAAAAGCGGGACTGTCCAGCTAAAACAGTGACAACTATGTGAGGTGAAAAGTAAACAGACCATTGGCCGGTACTTTGAGACCGCTGGTTAAGGTATTCACCCTGACCAGCGATGTAACGGAGGTATTCACCCTGACCAGCGATGTAACTGAGGTATTCACACTGAACAGCGATGTAACGGAGGTATTCACAATGACCATACACCCCCCTCCCCTCTTCCCAGCTGCATCTGACACTGCACACAGGGAGGAGAGAGGGTGCTCACTAGTCACAAGAGCCAGCTGAAGTACCGGCAGGTGGGCACAAGTCGAGACACAGATGAACCCGGATCAATAAAAAGCGGGACTGTCCAGCTAAAACAGTGACAACTATGTGAGGTGAAAAGTAAACAGACCATTGGCCGGTACTTTGAGACCGCTGGTTTATAGGCTCCAGTGCTTAGCACTTATTTATCTAATCACCAGCAGTAGAGAACAGAACAGCCAAATATGTTTCAATCCTTTTAGCTTTGATTTAAGCAATACCATTGTATTATGCACAATTTGCTTGTGTAGATACTTTTTATTTTGCCTCTGGAGTTTACTATGTTTTTTGATGCATTTTAATGTTGATTTTATTTGTGAGCATTACAGTAGTAGATTGGATGTTGATTGGGAATAGTTATGTCAAATATACAATATTCTCTACTTTCTCTCTAGCTTTATTTATGAAAGTTCACATAGCTAAAAAAGTATATAGCTGTAATAAGAGCACTGCATTTAAAAATGTGCTCACAAAGAAAAGTTGTATCCAAAAAGCTGTTCAGTTAATGATTATCTGTTTCCATTTGTTTTGGATTTTAAAGCTTCGTCCTCCTCAGCCTCCGGTATATCTGTTCATGTTTGATGTGTCTCACAATGCAATGGAGACTGGATATTTAAACACTGTATGTCAGACCTTGCTTGACAATCTGGAATGGTAAGTTTTTACACACTAATTTATCTAATAATTTAAATTCTATATACAAATAAGGAGACACATTTTGAAGCACCAATTAAACCGTGTAACTTGACAACTGTTAAATGTAATTTAATATGTATGATCAAATCTGGAACAGTAATTTTAAAAATGTTACCAATAGTTAGTAGGCCTTCCATGATGCTTTAACTGTGGTCTCATTGGGACTATGTTTAAGGAACTGTGGGCGTGATCTGCTGTACACTTTAACCCACACAATTTTCACTTCAGAGTTTGGGACAGGAAATGGAGGGAAGTCAACCTATCAGGGGCACAATCACAATAAATAGTTTTTATTAGTAGTATAGAGAAAAGCTAAAAGCTCTTACATTTTTATTGCTGTCCACACTAATGATTTCCCCTAAATTCTTGTCACAATGACGTTACCAGGAAGTGAAAGGAAAAACTCTCTAACAGGACAAAGATGGCAAATAAAAAATCAAATAACCCAGCAAGCATTCTAACTGTGCCCTGAGCCATCAAAAAGATGTTGGAAATACACATTAAAGTGACATTAAACCCTTAGATTTTTTAACATAAACCAATACTGTAATGTGCGCCTTACTATAATCCATGGTTGTTTCCCTTCTCTTTGCTGCTCTTCCTTTTAAATCCTCATGTCTTCTCATGCTCTGCAGAACTCCCCTTTGCAGCTCAGGGCCTCTTCCTGTAGTGCTGGCTCAGGTTACAAGCCTATAGAAACTAATACACAGACACTGTGTATCCATTCCTGAGACAAGGCAGTCTGCTGCAAAACAGAAGTTCTGCAGAGCATGAGAACAGATACAGATTTAAAAGGAAGAGCAGCAAAAAGAAGGAAAACAACCATGGATTACAGTAAGGCACACATTACAGTATTGTTTTATGTTAAAAAATCCGAGGGTTTAATGTCGCTTTAAATATGATCTGTACTGTGGCAGATTAGAGCTAAAAAGGCAAGAGAGCAAGGGCTAGTCATCTTTAATGCCTGTCACAGACTTGCTATGCCTCATCTCACACTGTGTCTCTCTGTGGAGGTGGCAATCTTGGCTGTGGAACAGGGCTTTGCTTACTCATGTCAGCATTGCCCCCTTGATGGTTAGGGAATGACGAAGAAGCAGCAAAAGAGGTGTGTACAGATCAGACAAAGTAAAGCAAATGCATAGAGATACTTTTACTGCAGATTCCCGGGTACCGCTTCCTCTCCAGGAAAACCGTGAATAGCACAATAGTGACATTACCACATCTCACTCTAAAACTGGGTTGACCAGCAGTCAGAGGTAGCCGTATTTTTGTAAAGATAAGATGAATGTTTCTACATTCACAGCATATACACAGAAAGGTTTATTGTTTTATAATGGCTACCTTGTCTTGATAATTTGGTATTATTATTTATAATCTGTTACATTTGTAACCACTTACAGGCTTCCGGGCAACACACGGACAAAAATAGCTTTCATCACGTATGACAGCACAATCCATTTCTACAGCTTACAAGAAGGTCTGTCACAGCCCCAAATGTTAGTGGTCTCTGATATTGATGGTAAGTGTTATATAAATTTGTTTGATTAATACACCTGCGGCCAGTCTAATGGCAAAACTGCCTCCATAGCAGCCAGTGAATCCTGTGAGCACTTTTGACTTATTGCCGATTTACCTTCACCAGGTCTGGTAAGCATTTAACATCTCCACAAGAAGAATTGAATGTCAAAGTGTAGTCTTCAAGAGAACCAGTCAGGAATCAACCTTCTGTTTGTTTATGATGATGCATGGTTGACCTTTCCAGGCTGCTTAAGGACAGATGTACTATTAACAAAACTGTTGGTTTTACTTTCTGCAGTCACTGCCGCACCTTTGTTATGCAAGATACACACTTCTGGTTTAAAATTACCTTAACCCGGAGAGCTAATACTACACTTTGACTATGAATGGAGATTTAGATTATAATAAATGCTTATTGTTGACTGGTTCTCTTTCTCTTCCGGTCATTGAAGGACACAGTGAACATATCGTAGATCATGTACTGTAGGGTAATATCGCCACCTGCAGGAGAAGGACGCTAGGCACAAAACCAAAAAGACAGCCTGAGGGCAGCCCCTGCTGGTGGCCAAAACCCCCACATGCTGACAAGTCTTCAGTTTTTTGCCTAGCATCAGGAGTAAGGAGCTTTAAATTTTTTCTCTGAATTCTTGTCTGGATTTCTCCTGTTTTTCGCTGGATCTTCTAGCAAGCGTAGACAGGGAGACGGGCTGGATGTCTGTGGATACTTGTATTCTTCCCTGGGCGACCGATGAGCGCATGCAGACTCTGCCACGGTGGGCCAGCTGCGACGATATGACTGGGGGTCTAAACCTACCAGTCACAGTACCCCACACAGGCTGGCGGTGATGTGGCTACGGTCTGGGGCGTTTTTCCACCATCCCTGCACGCCCTGATGCCGTGTGAGTTCCCAGGATTTGTCTCCCCCCTGGATGGTGGGGGTGGTGGTCGCTGTTCGGCGATTTCCCTCCTGGTACAGTATGTATGTGGGGGTCTGTCTGTGGCTGTGCGGACGGTCTCTGGATGCTGCCTATCAGTAGGTCGTGTTTACCTGGATGGAGGTAGCTATATGCTCTGGTCTGGGTGTACTGGTGAGGACCGAGGTTTCCTCGCATGCCTCTTTCTCCATGGTAACCTCATGGGCCTGCGGCCTCTCGAGGCTGGTGTACCTGGTCTCTCTGTGATGGGAGACCTGGCCTGGGGTAACAGGATGGGCCTGGAGGCCTGCCCGTGAGCGGCGCCGCGGCCACATATTTGTTTTAATTTCGGCCGCACGTGCGTGGGTGGCCGTTAATCGAGGTCCTGGCTCCTATTGCGGCCTAGTCTACATACTGCGGCCACCATCTTGGTTGAGGGCAGCTTGCTCTTCCCGCGTGAAGTCACTTCCGGTCCGCGAGTGGATGTGGCTGGACGCAGATCTGGGACAGCAAGACAGCGGTGCCAAGGGCCATGAAATTCTGGGATCTATTACTACCTGCTGCAGTCTTAGTGTATTGGGGCGAATAGAGTGTGGGCAGTGTCCATGGGCCGCAGGGACAAGCCATTTGCGGTTCCTTGTGAAGGATGTGGGCTTCTGTCAGCGGATGCTTCTTTTTCCCCTCTGTGCAGCCTGTACGCCTGCGCCCCTCTCCCAGTCACCATTACTCCCTTCAGGGTCTTCAGTGGGGGTGGTCAGTCACATGGGAGCTGCATTATCCTTTGAGGTGTTTTCATCCACTATGGACGGACGGTTTTGTGTCGCATTGAGCGCATGTTGACGCAGAGGCTCCCTAGGAAGCACGCTCTGCCGTCTCACTCCCCTGTTCCTTCCGTGGAGCCGGCGGAGGAGGGTGAAATTCCTGTGGCTTCGACCCATCCTGACCAGGGGGATTCTTCCCCACCAGATTCTGCTAGTGAGGATGGGTCGAGCGCCTCCCTTATGGTTCAGGAGCGTGAATTGGTCTCTGGCCAGATTCATTCCGTCAGACGCTTAAGATTGAAGAGCACCTGCATACAGGTCCTGGGCCTCTTGGGGGCTGAGGCCAGCCTCCTTTGAGGCGGTGCCTTTCGCGCAGCACCGCACCAGGATCCTTCAGAGGAACATGTAGTTGCAGTGGGCAAGTCTCCTTTGTCGCTGGACAGGGAGGTTCGGGTGTCTCGGACAACGAGAGTTTCCCTCGCTTTGGTGGCTCCGGTCTAAGGCTCTGGTGTCGGGGAAATCCTTTCCACCCCTACGCTGGAAGGTGGTTACCACGGACGCCAGCCTTCTGGGCTGGGAGGGGTCCTGGTCTACGCAAGGCTGTTGGTCGTTGGAGGAGTCTCATCTGTTGATCAACGTATTGGAGCTTTGGGCGATTCGAATGTCTCTCCATCTTTGGACGGGCCGTCTTGAGGGTCTGTCTGTTCGCGTTCAGTCGAACTACGCCATGGCAGTTGGTTACATCAACCACATAGGTGGCACAAGAAGCGTGGCCGCTGTACGGCTAGTGGGCGAGATTCTCTCCTGGGCTGAGGAGCATGTTCTGGCTCTTTGCACGGTGCACATTCCAGGAGTGGACTATTGGCAGGCCGACTATCTCAGACGCCAGTTGATGGAACCGGGAGTGCTCATTGTGCCTGGAGATCTTTCATCAGATCTGCCTTTGCTGGGGGACGCCGCATGTTGGTCTCCCAGCGTGTCGTCTCAATCAAAATGTTTATCAGTTCTTAGCCCAGGCCCAAGTTCCTGGGCTGAGGCAATGAAGGCCCTGGTGGCTTCGTGGGACCGTTAGTCTGATTTATGCCTTTCATCTTCTGTATCTTTTGCCGTATATCTTCTATGCAGTATAGCGACCGAAGGCATTCACATCATCCTTGATTGGCCGAGGTAAGCATGGTACGCGGACGTGGTTCGGTTGGTCGTGGACATTCCCTGGTGGCTGCCACTTCGTCCAGTCTTCTGTCCCAGGGCCCCGTGTTCCAGCCTCCTTTACAGACGCTGGATTTAGCGGCGTGGCTGTTGAGAGCCAGGTGTTGAAGGCTCGTGATTTATCAGATGCAGTTTTCTCAACGATGCTTAGGGCTCGCAAAGCCGTTTCTCAAAGTTATACCATCGTATGTAGGAGGACTACATACGGCAGGGGGGTTGTCTACATCCGCGTTTTGTCTCTGAGCAGAATTCTTGGGTTTCTGCAAATTATGCAGTAGATCGTGGTTTGGCCTTACGGACGGTGAAAGGCCAGGTTCTGCCCTGGCTGTTCTTTTTCAGCGACCGATGGTGTCAACTGCCTTGGTTCGCACTTTTGTTCAGGGGATTACACGTATTGTTCCTCCTGTTCGGTCTCCCTTGTCGCATTGGGATCTGTCATTGGTGCTTTGAGTGTTGCTGGAGTCTACCTTTGAGCATTAAGAGAATTCCCACTTCTGCATCTGTCCTAAAAGGTGGCCTTTTGTGGTGACGTTTACTTCCGTTCAGAGGGTTTCAGAGTTGGCGGCCTTGTCTTGCAAGTCGCCGTTATTGGTCCTTCATAGGGACAAGGTTGTTCGGCATCCTCGGCCGTCCTCCCTACCTCAAGTGGTTTTGGCGTTTCATTTGAATGAGGATGTCGTCTTACCTTCTCTCTGTCCGAAGTCTGTTCATAGGAAGAGAGAGCGTTGCATTGTTTGGATGTGGTTCATGCACTCCGCGTTTATATGGAGGCTGCGGCTTTCTTACGTGCGTTGGATCCTTTGTGGTTTCGGAAGGGCAGGGCCCGCGTCTTTGGCTACCATCTCTCGATGGATTCATAACACAATTGTTCAAGCGTATGCCTTTTAAGGGGCGTGATCTTCCTTTTCCTGTTACTGCCCCTTCTACTAGGGCAGTTGGGGCATTTTAGGCTTTCGCCATGGTGCCTCTGTTTCTCAGGTTTGTAAAGCCACTACTTGGTATTCTGTTCACACCTTTGCCAAGTTTGATAAGGTGGTTGTTTTGGCGTTCTTGGATGCTGACTGGGGCGCAAAGATTTTGCAGGCGGCCCTTTAGTGAGGTCTTGTTGGGGATATTGGACTTGCCCACCCCTCTGCCTGTTACTGCTTTGTGACGTCCCTACAGTACATGATCTACGATCTGTTCCCTGTGTCCTTCAATGAACGGAAGAGAAAATAGGATTTTTGTACTCGCCATAAAATCCTTTTCTCTCCGTTCATTGAAGGACACAGGTCCCTCACTCTGTATTTGAGTGCGCACTCCTAACTGATTGTTACTTACTGGAGACTTGTCAGCATGTGGGGGGTTTGGTCACCAGCAAGGGCCGCCCCTAGGCTGTCTTAGTCTTTTGTGCCTGGCGTCCTCCTGCAGGTGGCGCTATTACCCTACGGTACATGATCTACGATCTGTTCCCCATGTCCTTCAATGAACGGAGAGAGAAGGATTTTACGGTGAGTACAAGAATCCTATTTTTAAGTGCAGAGTATACAACCAGTCACCAATTGATATTAGATTGGTAGATTTCATGTGGATTGCAATTAATTACTTTTGTTTTTACTTCCTTTCAGATGTATTTATCCCAATGCCTGAAAATCTATTGGTTAACTTAAATGAGTGCAAAGAGGTATGACTTGACAACCTATGTCTCTGTCTCGTGTCAGCTTCCTTTGTTTAAACCACTAAACTTTTTAATCTGAACTAAAACTTAAACCATCTTTAATGGTTAATATGTTCTAATCAGAATAAATCATTTTGTGCCACTGGCTACAGAAAACTTAAAGCTGAGAACGGGCCCATGATGCCCTGCACACGCAACAAGTGGGTTTAATGATACTGGGTGTAATTCAGCCCAGAGGAAGACTGGGAGTGCTGGATTGTAGAGAAGAGTTGAGAATGGCAGTTTTTTTTAATTTTTTACTACTGTTGGTAAACTATATTAACCAGTTGACATCCGGGGTGTTAAACCCCCTTCCCATCCAGGCCATTTTTCAGTATTCAGCGCTGCGGTACTTTGACTGACATTTATTCCGTCATGCAGCGCTGTACTGAAATGAATTTTATACCCTTTTTTGGGGACACATAGAGCTTTCTTTTGGTGGTATTTAATCACCACTGGGGTTTTTATTTTTTAATATATTAAGGAAAAACTACAGATTTAAAAAAAAAAAAAAAGTTCCCCCTATATTAAATTCTAAAACATTTATTATTACCAAATTTTTTGGTAAAATATAAAAGACGGGGTCACGTCGGCTAAAGAGACACCAAACATGTCAAGCCTTAAAATTGCGCATGTGCGCGAAACCTAAAAAAAACGACATTAGCCAAAATTGGCCATAGGCGACGCATTAAAAGCTTTTACCGCTCATCAGTTTAGTGTTATCAGTGATTGATGGCCCTAAAATGATTGCTCTCACTGCGACGTTCGCGGCGATATGTAACATGTGTAGCGCAATTGTCATTTTCGCGTGCTGGCGCATGCGACGCATATTTACGTTTAAATGTGCGTAAACGAAGGTGGGGGGACTTAAACTTTTGGGGGGGTGGTTTACTTTTTTTTATTTGTGACCTGTTATTTTTTTAAACTTTTTTTGTTTGTGACTGTTATTTTTTTTAACTTTTTTTATTTATATAGATTTTTTTTTTACACTTATTGTTATTGCTATTACATAGGGGGATACCATCCCCCTATATAATAGCACAGGTACACTGACAGGTCCTCTTTATGGAGACATTAGGGGTCTCTAGACCCCTAATGTCACCTGGAGACCCCAAAAGAAGCTGATGAAGCACAGATTTGCTTCATCAGCTTCTTCTCTCTGGCAGTAGGAGCCAGATGACTGACAGGTGAATGCGGAAGTGATGTAATACACATCACTTCTGCATTCACACTACAGAGGGAGAACAGCAAGGAGCTGATCTCCCTCCCTCCTTCTCCTGACGCCCTCCCGAGCCGGTCCCGGGCCGCAGATGGGCTAGCGGATCCCGGGATTAAAGGTGAGGGGTCAGGAGGGGGGAGATGGCGGCACTCGCGATTGGGGGGGGCGCTCCGAAATTCACGCCATACAACCGATCGGCGGCTATAGAGCCGCTGATCGGTTGTATGTGAAACAGCCGTTAACGGCTGTAGTAACGAGCGTGTCTTTCCTGCCCGTGCGCGCGCAGGAAAAAAATGCCGTCTAGCGACGGCAACCCGCGGATGCGAGTCTGCCGTCCGTCCGTTTTATCTTAACGGGCGGACGGCAAGAGGTTAAAAAAAAAATGCATAAGGTGGAAATCACTTTTTAGTGAAACTGGGCCCTTTTTTGAAGATTAACACATGTGCTTGCAGGCACGTCAAGGTATCAGCACTTTAGCATTGTTCTCTTATCTTGCTACGTGTTGCATTGTTAATGAGTGA